CTTGGCCTTTGAGTCGAATACAATAGTTCCATCCCGACACGTAAGTGGTGGAAGGCTACTGTGTGAGAAGTTCTTTTCAATCTGCTTGGCCAGCGTCCACAAAGACCGACTGCCATTGCGCTGCGACATTACCCTGTGCCTAATTTTTATATCGTGCTGGTTTTTGGCATTGCGAACCGCTTCGTTATATTTGTTTCTGGACTCGACGTCGGCTTGTCTGTTCTCTACAGTGGGGTTTTGTAAGAAGGTTCTGTGTGCCTTGATCTTCTGCTGGCGAGCAGTGTCACACGATTTCTTAAACCAGCCTTTGGACCCTGGTTTAGGCACTTTCACTGTGTGAGGGATGTATTCCTCCATTGCGACGTGGATAATTTCTGTTATCGAAGACAAGTTTTGCGGCCTGTACGAGTTTCTGCTGCCACAGCGGGTTCTGACCGAAACCTAACCTCCACAACACCGTGGTCTGAGTTACCCAGGGGGGACAGGACAGCAGTGCTGTAAGGGACAGGATGCGTGGTCAGAAAGAGATCCAGCAGGCTACTGGCGTGTGACGAGACGCGGGGGAAACAGTAGGGCTCGTCACCAGCTAGGTCAGCCCTTGAGTAAGAGCGAACGCTTCAACTGCACGACCTGTTGCATCGGTCTTGTTTGAGCCCAACCAAAGGTCATTATGGTCATTGAAATCACCGAGAAGAACTACCTCTGAAGTAGGGTGATTGATGTTCAGGAAGTCGATCTGGACGGCGAGGTATTCGAGTAGGTCATCCCAGTTATGGTACAAGGAAGAGCGATAAAGGCAGCAAATTTTGGTGATGGTTTGGAGTTGAGGCGAAGCCACAGAATGTCCTTCCGGTCTGATTCCAAAGAAACATCTCTGGAGCAAGCAATACTGCTGCAGACAGAGGCTACAACTCCCCCGTTCTTTCTCAGATTGGAGTGCACCTCGTAGTTTGGGAAGTTAAGATGGTTAATCGGTGCAGACTCTGAGATTTTTGTCTCCGCCAAGAAAAGCACGGGGGGACGATTGGATTGCAGGTAGTGATGAACAGCATCAATGTTGCTGTTAATCCCGCAGATGTTCGAAAAACAGTCCTTGGAAACAATTTATATTAGATATCTCCTTGGAAACGGGTGAAACAATGACGCTTCCTTGATGAACATTCAAGGGAAAGTTTAAATTTTACAGTAGGTTGTAACAGTCGTCATCACAAGCTGTCATCAATGTCAGAAAGATTTTTCTTAGCTGGCCGTATCTGTTTAACATTTTTATGGTAAAATTGGGACGATTTGGTTTGTTTGTGATAAGTATCAATAACAATGCAAAATAACAATGTGTTTGCTTCCTCGAATAACAGCGCAATCACAGAGAAGTAAAAAAACCTTAATATAGGCAGTCAGTTGCACCGAACTGCTCTGCTGGTTACAGATTGTATATTACGCCTATCGGAAATAAACCAAATCGTCCCCAATTTTATAATCGAAATGCTAAACAAACACGGCCAGCAAAGAAAGATCTGTTCGACATCGTTTACAGTTGAACTGTTACAGCCTACTGTGAAATGAAAATTTAAATTTTCCCTTGAATATTCCTCAAAGAAGCATCACTGTTTCACTGATTCCAAGGAAGCCTCAAGGCAAGTCTATTATTCTGAATTCATTTGTTCTTTTACCAGGAATGAAAAAGTACCTAACAGTCTGCCGGAAAGCCACAGAAGACCACGTCCTCTGGAAACACGTGGACGCTCCCCACCTTATCGACTCCCTGGACATGTACAGCTTGCAAGACCTAGTTGATACCAATTCGGGAGAGCTGCCTTTCAAACTCCATTCACTGGTAGAGATTTTCTCAAACCATATTAAAGTCGATTGCGAGATTTGCAAGGGTAGAGCCCATATTTGTGTTATCTGCCTGAGCAATGAGGTGGTATATCCCTTCGATACCACGGGACATACTTGCAGTAATTGCAATTCAGTTATGCATAAGGTGTGCTATAATCGGAAGAACCAGTGTCCTAAGTGTCTTAGGATAAAGAGTCGAATGGAGGAGGAGCAAAATAATAATCAGAAAGAGAATGAGGAAGGTACAGATTAGTTATAGTTTTAATGTGTTCCATTTTGTTTGAGGTGACTTTTATACGGTTGTACTATCAATAGATATATTTATTTTATAAGTTCAATGTCTTCCTCTTTCCCATATATTTCAGAGTGGCTAGCCTAGAACTACGTGTCTTTGAATTTATTTGTTGAATGCGCAAATAGCAAATGTATTCTGGAGCAATTAACTTCACAAGTCTATTAGGAAAACATCTAGACATCGACTACTCTCGTTCTAGATATTTGCCTAATAAACTTGCGAAGTTATATCCTATAGTTTTCCTCTACGCGTTTCTGTTATCCTGATAAGAAAAATCACTTAAGACCATTATGATTATGACATTGTATGATTGAAACAATAGGATACGAAGAATGTGAAGACTTTCGCTGCTAACCTCTGATTTGCAGAGTAACCCAGATACGGCAGTTTTTATTTTCAATAAATTTTTTTAGGCTTTATAATTGTCTAAGTAGTAAACTGAAGCCTATATATGGAGTGTTCAGCGGTTTTTCATCAATGTCACGCATGCGTGTCGGTCGCACCTGGCCATGAATTTTTTGCTAGGTGCTGGCCGACATGCATGTGTGTTGTTATATTCAGATGTCATGTGTGTCGTCAGCAACTGGCAAAAAAAACTTAATGTCACGCAAGTGTGAGATCAGCAGTGAAAGTGTTAAAGAAACGACGAGAGACACGAAGTCTGTAAATTGAGTAGAGACTGACTTTTTTAACCTTCTGAAACCACACAGCGCTGAAAACGTTTCTTCCAGTCCTCATAGCAGTGCTGGACCTCCGATACTAGAATAGCATTCAGCTGTCACAAAATGAGTTCCCTTGAGGTGATTTTTCAACATCGGGAAGAGAAAAAAATCCCAAGGACTCAAGTCAGGCGAATAAGGAGGCTGAGGGCCACAGGAATGTTTTTACTCGTTTATTGACTTGGCTGTGTGACAAGGAGCATTATCGTGATGCAACATCCAGTTGTTCTTGATCTGTGATGAACGGTGGTGTGGGTCAAATTTAACTCATCCTGACTGTTAACCGACGACCTGATGCACAAAATCTCTGGTTCTGTCGATATTTTCATCGGTTCTTGAAGATGAAGGCATTCCGCTCGTAGTTCATCTTCAATTGACCCCTTCTGACAATGCCTTAAACCACCGAAACCATCTGGGCCTTTGACAATACACTATCTCTGAAGGCCTGCTGAAGTTTATCAACAGTTTCCGTTGTACTGTGTCCAAATCTGAAGTTAAACCTGATAGCACCACCGATGCTCGAAATTGGTCACTCATTTTAGAACACAATAGAAAAAACGTTTTCACAAAAAACATCGCTACAGACAACCAAATGACTCGAGCGAGTTCAAAATTGTACTGAAGGCTCCAGATAGCACGCTACGTTACTAGTCGCATCACTTAATTTACAGACCTCGTATGTACGCCAGTAGAATTGAAATATATATATATATATATATATATATATATATAGCGAGGGTCCTACAGCTGCTACCGCTTCTCGCACTTCAATCGCCCATTCTCTTCTGTTTTCCCAATCTCCTTGATTCATTTCCCTTTTCGTCATGGCTTCTTATATCCCTTTCCTCCACGATGTTTTTGGCCTACCTCTCTTCCTTCTGTGGTTGGGATATATGATACCATCTTCCTTGCCATCTTTCATCAACCATCCTCATGACATGGCCGTACCAAACTATACTAAGTGACATATAAATCCGAACACCCAGTTTAAATGGTTTTATTTTAATGAAATTTTGTATAAGTACTTAATGAAGCATAATAAGTAAATGATAAAAATTTCAAAATGTTTGCACTGCTTTAAAGCCCTTTGACCTTTAATAATGTGTGGATGCACCCTGATGTGCTACGCAATCTCCAACGCGCCTAGGCATGCTTCTGATCAGGTAGTCAATGTTCTCCTGTGGTATCTCATTCCAGGCAACCACCAACTCCTCTCGAAGTGCTTCTAGAGTCTGAGGAGGACGTTGCAAATTGAGCAATCTCCTACCCATCATATCATGGTTTGGGGTGCTATAGCTTATGGTTCCAGGTCACCTTTAATCTTCATCAGAGGTAACATGAACGCGCAGCGTTATATCCACGAAGTTCTAGAACCCCATCTTTTACCCTATCTTGACACCCTGGCAGATCCAACTTTCCAACAAGATAATGCCCGACCACAAGTTGCAAGAGTCACAATAGACTTCTTTCAACATAATGATGTCACATTGTTACCATGGCCACCAAGATCTCCCGACTTATCCCTAATTAAGCACGTGTGGGATATGATGGGTAGGAGATTGCTCAAGTTGCAACGTCCTCCTCAGACTCTAGAAGCACTTCGAGAGGAGTTGGTGGTTGCCTGGAATGAGATACCACAGGAGGACAATGACCACCTGATCAGAAGCATGCCTAGGCGCGTTGGAGAGTGCGTAGCACATCAGGGTGCATCCACACATTATTAAAGGTCAAAGGGCTTTAAGCAGTGCAATCATTTTGAAATTTTATCATTTACTTATTATGCTTCATTAAGTACTTATACAAAATTTTATTAAAATAAAACCATTTAAACTGGGTGTTCGTATTTATATGTCACTTAGTATAGTTGTCTTCTTTCCACTCTATCCACAATGGCATCTTGTACACACGCCCTTTCTCTGATTATATCGTTTCGGATATGGTCCAACCTAGATACTCTCACGACCGGCGTAGGAAGTCAATTCAACTGCTTTTAGCTGGTTTTCTATTTTATTTTTGATGTAAGCTGCCAGTTCTCAGCCCCATAAGTAGTTATTGGCTCCACGATACTGTGGTAAACTTAAACTTTAGTGTTAATGCTAATTTTGGAAGACCATAGAATGGAATTCAATTCCTGGATTGCCATTTTACCCCGAACAATCCTGCTTTGTATACCTTTTTTTGTTGAACCGTCAGATTTTATCTAGGTTCCCAAATATTTGAATTGAATTATCCTGATAGCAATGTCCACTCAGCCAGTTTCAAGTAATTGTGTCTGAATATATGGCAGTCTTTGTAAACTTTCTCTGCTTTCGTCCGTCTGACCAAAGACAGCCAACCATGGGCAGCTGTTTGGTGCTTTTTGACTCCTCAGCATGGTCAAGGCTTGGATCTCTCAAGTTTCTCTATCAAGATCACAGAAACGACGACTGGGGGTCAAGTTGTCACTGGCCTAAACAATTAGAACCCCCTCTCGCCGGGACGCCCTGGTGCTGAGTCCAACATCCGTAGCCAAACTAACCTATTGGCAGCTCCCTGACGTGGCATCTAGTGGCGATGGATGCTAAAATTTTTTTCTGCAATATATTTAATATGTTCTTATCTTAAAAAGACCCAACGACCCAAACTGCTTTCGTTCGTGATGATCGCCAAATAAACTTGCAAGGTTAATTTCGCCAGACTATATCCAGTTCACAACGAATATACAATCATGAGCGTATTTCAGTATCTACATGGTCTGCGATGCGGGGGTAGGCTATCTGTAGGGTGCTCCAGCTGCCAGAGAAAATTTAATGTTGTTACACCATCTATTGAAAATAGAAGAATATTTGCTACTTATCTATTAAACAGAATTGCTACAAACATAATGTAGTTGAGCTACAAGTGATAGCATCGTAGAAAAAGGCATTATTCATCGGTTTATACTGATGTGTGATCAGTTTGATCACCTCATGTGCCGCACACCCTCCCAACGTTGCTGATACTGAATGTAACTCAGCGCCCCCATATCTGTAAAATAGTAGAATATGATTATTATCCTATAATAACATTGAGAAATATTAATTAATAAAATCGTCATCATAACACGTGAAGTCGCATGCTATCTACAAACTTACAAGCTATAACGTAAACTCATAGATCAAGAGCCCGTGACGGCCAGACCTTCGTTATTTTATAAAACCTGAAAGTTTCTCTGTGTATGACGCAAACATAGGCAAGAACGATTAGCGACTATGAAATCTGGATAGAAGTTACTTTGTCAGGTAACAGCAAAGATGAATAAAATATTACCAAATTTGTTAAAGTAGTTTTTTTATATCTTCTTCAAAATGATATACATGACGTCATTCATGGCCAGACCGTACAGTTCTAACCGCTTGCCAGATACCCTAAACAATTTTAATTGTTTTAACATTGTGCCAGACACATTGCAAGTCTGCCGTAGTAGGTGCGTGAGCGAGGCGATGTAATATGTTCAAGCGAGCGTGAGTGAGGCGAGTTTGGTATGTTGCGACCTTTAACTGCGTTGACTGTCGTTTATATTGTATTATAAGAATTTTCGGTTGGTCCGGTTTGGCAAAAAATAATCTGTCAAATATGACCAGGAGGTCAATGACATTCAGCGTGGTATCACTGTTGCTATTGTGTGATAAAGGTGGTACGAACGTGACTTGTTTCGAGGAGGAGAACTATCCGGTTTTATAAAATAACGGTTTCGCCATCGCAGGCTTTTGCTCAATCATGGTACGTGGAACTTCGCTCACACAACGAAGGATATGAAGAAATATACTATTGACACCTTCCACACCTATGACGTGACTATGATGTGTTTTTACTTTACCATTCATGTCTGCGGCACTTGACTTTATAGAAATTAGGCGCAAGTTCTAAAAAACGCGTTAGTGTATTCTATAGCATTTTTGGTCACTCAAATATCTTGATGCAACAATCGCGATTAAAAATTGCACTAAAATTCTTGAGGTGCTGTCCATTAATAATAATTTAAAGGCACAATAAATTAGAGGCTTATTCTATCAGAAAATGCCGAAAAACAATCTGTTAATATATGGTGTGTATAGACATCTCTTGCCAGAGGAATTTGTAATGGGACATGAACAATATTATGCCAAGCTGGGACAGAAAATCTACTGATCATGCTTTCCCCTCGAAGATTCATACTTCAAACAAGTTCCTGGAACTAGGTTTTTCAAAAGTAGTATTTAATGACCTCACAGATTGTAGCATGCGAAAAACAAGAATTCGACATACTTTGTTGAACATGGCTGAATTAGCTTTAAAGGTTTCTTGTACTCCATTTATAAGCCTATTAGTCGTAGCCTATGAGAGATACATCCGTGACCGTAGAGGCTTTATACTATGAGTTTATTACAAAACATATTTCAGAAGGTTTCAAAAAAAATCCATACTGCATTAAACATATGTAGGATGGCCCTTGTGTTATATTGCGTGCTTGAATATCATTTCGTATCCAGACTTTTTGTAAGTAGAAGCATGAAGTATGAACGCTATAAGGTGTTTTCCTCATTACGATATATGTAACGTAATAGGACCCGTCTCGTAAAGACTGTAAAACTTAAATTGAAATATATATTTTATTAGACAGGCGAAAACACTGTCAACCATCGTAGTTTGCTATGACGAGTTCACATGAAAAGTATAGTAATTATCGTTATTGTATCATCCCAGAATGTAAAAACACATTAAAATAACTTTTTTCTTAAAAATTCAATTCTATAAAAAACCCAGGAGAGTTGTGGATTAGAGTGCCCAGGGAAACATATATATATATATATATATATATATATATATATATATATATATATATATATAACCATTATACCATGTATCCAGCTCTCACCATGTTACTGGACGTTTCCCTCATCCTATACGAAAACAACAATTAGCAACATCCTCACATACTACTCTCCTGATGATGATGGCAAAGTCCATTGAAAGCTAGAGAGAATTAAAAAAAGTATAAAGAGTCCTCTTTGTTTAAATTTTGTCGAAGTGCCCAATAAAAGGCGGAAGCTTTAATTTTTCACCTAACTGGTCTAGACGACAATGACCACGTCTCAAGTTATATATATATAAAGAGAATATGATCATGCGGAGAAAGGTATATAACAACAAGTAGGAAAATAATGGGCAAAATCCGCAAAAAGGAGGAAAGTGGATTCGAGCAGAAAATAGGATAGGTAACCCGAGCGATACGTATTTCTGCTGGTTGGCTTCATCAGGCCCGAAATGAATGCACATATGAAACTACAAAAGTAGATACACATGCCCACACATCCGGATACGGGTGTAACCTGAAGAAACGGAGTTGGAGGGGAAAAAAACGACACACGAAGTTGTGGACTTCGTGTGTCGTTTTTTTTTTACCTATCCTATTTTCTGCTCGAATCCACTTTCCTCCTTTTTGCGGATTTTGCCCATTATTTTCCTACTTGTTATATACCTTTCTCCGCATGATCATATTCTCTTTGTAGATCCTTTGGGCTTGTAGTGCCACAGCAAGTGGCTATAACCGGCCGCGAGGTGGTGGTTAGACGTCTCCTTCAAAATTCGAGGTCGTATAGCCATTTTATACTACAATGTGTAGGTTGTCTCTTGTTGTGGACTTCGTGTGTCGTTTTTTTCCCCTCCAACTTCGTTTCCTCAGGTTACACCCGTATTCGGATGTGTGGGCATGTGTATCTACTTTTGTAGTTTCATATGTGCATTCATTTCGGGCCTGATGAAGCCAACCAGCAGAAATACGTATCGCTCGGGTTACCTATCCTATTTTCTGCTCGAATCCACTTTCCTCCTTTTTGCGGATTTTGCCCATTATTTTCCTACTTGTTGTTATATATATATATATATATATATATATATATATATATATATATATTGTATCGTCTCGTTTAAGTTGGACGTCACAACGACGTCACTGTCACAGATGTGTAAGTTGATATACAATATTATATAAAAACAGTCAGAGGTTATGTCGCATAAGCTTAGTTTTGTCTACCATTATATTATATCATACCGTCGGCTTAATATGCAAAGCACACAAGTCCCATACCACTAATTTTAGAGGAGATGAAAAAACTGTCCCATTTCTGAAGTGTTTTATTTTATTCGCATACTTGAGACATAGTTCTGTTGTGATCCCTGTGTTTCTGATCATTAAACATCGCATGAAATGCAATTTGATTAAATTTAACAGGACTTATGTGACTATCTTCAGTTTTTCAATAAATATGTGGCAATAAAACTAGTATGCATTGTTCCAATAAGGTTCATTTTTACTAACTGCAATTCAACATAATATAAATCATTTATTCATGTGTGAGGCAATTCATCTTTTCTTTTTATATAAATGCTCCAACCACCGCGAAGGCCTAAGGCCTAAACACCCATGGGTTACCGTGGTGCTATAGGGGGATACAGGGAAAAGGGGGGAACGCCACACGGACTCTGGCGAGGGAACACGTTTGCATGCAACATGCATATACATTCTGGCCCCGCCTACGAGATCCGCCGGGTGGTACCTCTGCGTTCGACAGTCAGAGACCGTCTACCACCTACGGACAATCACAACATCCATAGCCAAGAGAAAAATTTCTCTTGGGACGGGATTCGAACCCGCACAGCGACTGATCAGGAGACCGAAGAGTCTACTACTGCGGCCACCGCTGCTACCTAAAATCCATGGTAGTCATTAACTATTGTTCAAGGCCTTCAGATGCTCATACTTTGACTTTTATATCGGAATCCTTTCCAGTAAAGCTGTGGCAAATCTTCAATTCTTTTTCCATGCTGTGCATTTCTTTTACACCTTACGGGTAATGGTGACCAATCATGAGTGTGCCTCACCTTATAATATATTGTTCCATCAGGTTCATACTTCAACTGTCTTATTGAATTAACTGTTTGGGAGGTACCAGGTGTTATTGAAGGATAGTAATTCAGACTGTTATAGTCTTTAAAAAACTCAGAATCAAGGTACTCAACCTTCTATGGATCTCTCCGAGCAGCTGTGCAGATTCCTATATAATCAGCAGAGACATTTGAGTGTGACCTCTCTCTAGGTACTTTCGGAAAATAGTTACTTTCCTGTTTTGACTGGTGCATCCGTCACTAAATAGAATTCCTTTAAATGTCTTTTTCTTATTTCCCTTTCACCTCCAGGTTACTCTAGTTCAGTAGCTTCTGTGAAATTGTGTTCTGTGGACTCTTGCTGGGATTTGGTCAGACTATGCTTCAGCCAGTTATGTATTGTCCACTGTTTTATAGCTAAAGTAAAAACAGAGATTTGCAAACTCTCAGTTTGAGAACCATCTACCTTTCTTAAGAAAAACATGCACGTACAAGTCCTTCTGCTAGCATCGTCTTCCTTTCGATTTCCTTTTCGCTGTGTTGGTGTACATTTAGCTAGTGTTGTTACAAATAGCTTGTTCTTCTTCCATGATAACTTCCAGAACTGATCAAAAATCAATTTTCTGTCAGTTTCACAGTAAGTTGGGAGCACTGAAGTTTGGATCGATAATCAGTTACACCTGCCTAACAAAGTCTTATCTAGTTTCTTAAGATCATATTTCCAGACATCGTTAAGTTTTCTTTTCCCTAAGTAAGATAAACCACTTTCTCTTCTTTGTTAGTTTTGCTCTTCGTTCCAACCTTTAATGTCTACTTGTCTCCTTTTACGTCGCTTTCGCTTAATATTTTCTAAAGATCTGTTGCTTTCTAGTATTTCTGCGGTGTTTTCTTGCTCCAAGTTGTGAATTTCTCTTAATACATTTTCAGATGAATTACATTCGTGTTCCTCATCATTTTTCGGTGTCTCCGCACGTTGTTCTTGATTTTCTTGTTCCTGATTGTCGTCACCTTGATTTAGCCTATGTATCGCTACATTTTCTGGGGTTTGCACTATCATACGGTCTGGGATTCTAGAGCATTGTGTTTCGTCGAAAGGGAAAACGGTATCAAACATGTTTTCTGGTACAACAGATACACTTGGTCCAGGAATGTCTACAAAATCGATTTCTACATCAGTCACGTCGTAGCAAACGCCTTGATTAGTAATAATAGATTGGTTCATACTACACAGGTCTTGTAAAAGTTCAGTTGTGCTTGTACGATCGGCAGAGGTGTATTTCTCATTTGTCACATTTACATTCTCAGTGCTACTACACGGCTCGGTACTGGAATCACCGCTAGCAACCATTTTAAGGATTCTTAATGTTCTCGTTGACATCTTTTCTGGCTCTAAAATGAAATTATAGATTTTAGTCGACTGGACGCATTATTTATATCTTCGAAAATCCTTCAATGTTGCATACTTAAGTTGTGGACAGTACCTATTATGAATTCTTACACCAGTATCTATGATGACCAAATCAAATAAGTCCAAACGATAAAATCACATAACTCCGTACTTTACGTTTACGAGACAATTAGTCGCTATACAATATCTAATTTCATATAATCTTGACTCGAAATGATACTGTTAACTTACCCTATTGAATCAGAGTTTTACTCCACGCTAAACTTGCACAAATATCAAATGCTAACGCCAACAGTAACAGACACTGTGTCCAGGCATACCAAAACACTGAACTTGTATGGACTTGTGTGATGTACCTATCGGTCAGAGCGAGGGCGAGTGTTATGTGAAATTCTTGACGCCGAATATGTCGCTTACGCATTTTTTGCGAGTTATGTGGAATTCTTGGGACAGGCGCGTCACACATCAACTAAAAGTGCCAATATCTCATTTTCTTTAAAAGGTGGACTTATGTGATTTGCATATTAAGCCGACGATATGCAATTTAGAAGTCTTGATGTTCCTCAGCTCAGCAGAGCAGAAATCTGGGTTGAAGGCAAAAAAATTACCAACCATCAATGTGTTAATTTTCGGCTTTGTACTTCTTACTAATCTAACGTCGATGAATGTTTTTTTTTTCAATGAAACGAAAATCGATAGCTTTTTACGTTTATTACGAGTTTTTTTTTTTTAGAAATATTGACAGAAGACAACGTTAGTCCACGAGTGACATACGATGACGTTTCTTTGTTTACAATTTCTATGACATAATAGCTGATAGTGTTTTCACCTTTCATAGTAAAATTAATATATTTTTGTTAAATTGGACTTACATATCCCATGTTGCACTTTTAAAAATATGAAATAAGATATGAATCACGCAGTTTATTCTGAACTTTAGACAACTACCAGTGATTATAATTAACAATGAGGACGATAATTTTTGATGAAGAGAACGAGGAGCAGTGAAGACTCGACATCACCTGTCCAACAGTGTCCAGTACAGACCGCATCGTCACCAACAAGAAACACAAAAATTTTGACACGTTAAGATGTAGTGTAAACATTAAGTTTCTTCGGGTTTTTATTATTACTGTTCTAGAACTATCAGGAGCATGCGCAGGAGAAACCGACGTTTTCGGGTTTCTGTTGGATTACTATCGGACCGTTTTAGAATTGAAATTTGGGTGATTTGGTGTTCGAGTTAAATTTATATCCTGGTTCAGAGCTACGATGGTTTGAGAGTCGTTTAAGCAGTTCATGCTTTACTGCCGGTACCATTATTGGACTGATTTTTCACGCATGCATAATTCCTTCTGTCAATCTTATTGAAATTATTTGAGGTGTTTTGCTTTAGATGCTGTTTATTTTTTTGCGGTTTGAGAAGTTTATTTAAAATTAAAAGAAAAGTGGGAAAGCAAAACAAACGGCTTTTGTAAAACTTTATAAGAAAAAAGTGTGGTTATTGTTACTGACAAATGTTCTTTTCGCTTAGTTATCTTCGCTGTTGCCGTAGTCAGGCTGTTCGGGTTTTGGCAAAATTCTGATAGTTCACGGACTGTTCATAACCGCTCCAGAGATCTTTCCCTTTACGCATTTAGTCTTGCGCAGTTCCAGAACCGTTCTGTGACAGTACTGAATTTATAACTCGAAAATAGCTATTGCCTCGTATGATTACATGCAAATAATATTGTCAGCTTAGATGCGATCCTAGTATGATACGTCATAATCGTCGAATGACCTTTAATAAACCGAAATATCTTACCTGCACACCTCATGAACCCTCTCGTCCGCTACACCCTGCTGCAAATGGACATTCCATTCCGTCAGCAACCTAGCAACGGCAGTCTTCATCTCCGCCGCATCAGGTTCAATGCGCTCATCTCTCCTACCAGGGGGCGCGTCGCACTCTCCGGCGAACCTCTCCAATGCCCTTAGAACGGGGTAGTACGCTGCTGGACCATCAGGGTCGTATTGATCCATGCGGAAGGCACCACCTGAAGGCGGTGGGTCGGCGATACAGTGGTTACCGCGCGACACATATAGCTCGGAAGAGTGTTTGCAGAATAGACGGACCTGAGATAAGTGTAAAGAGACGATAACAGTGGCTACGTTTCAATGATAAAGATTACTAAAAAACAATGGCGTCAAATAAGTTGACTGCGTACTTCCCACGCTGCGCTGTCATCAGTTTATATATATCAGCATTATATTTATCAAAACCCCTTCTGTGAAAAAAGTTAGCTACGAACATGTATAACAAAACATTAAATGACCTTCTCCTCCCCTGAGAGGAATTGCTGCAGGCGCACAAGAACTTTACGATCACCTTTCCCGCGTTGTCCATCCCAGGCACGTCGCACGTATCGACACCTGACTGTAGGAGGTAAGGGTAAATCTATGATGAGTGAAATATGTCCAATATGTGCGTACAATTAATAGGCTTGAAGGCGTATAATTATACCAACGTTAAAAAATTGAAATATACCCTCCGCCACCCCCTGCAACCCCTGACCCACAACTTTTAACTACTACAAAAATTGTCCGCAAATGGTCAGGATCGTCTGTAACGTCAAAAAAACAAGTTTGAGCGATGTTTGTTTTGTTTATTTTTTCGGTGGCCTTTTCCTCCGCCGCCACTGATTTTCGTCCTTGGCGTAGTTGTAACATTGTGTAAAAGTTTCAACGAAATCGGAGCAGTACTTCTCAAGATTTTCGGAATTTTTCGCGATTACAATACTTCCCCTGCAGTAGGCGTGGGAAGTAATACATAATGTAGCGACCCAAATACCGGACTTACTAACGGTTCGACTAGAAAGGGGTAATATTGACCCACGGCATAACGTGAAGTTCTCCGCAGGTATAGGTATAGACATGGCCGATATCGTTATTTTTGAATATCTGCGATATCTGATATGGTTACTTTTTGATATTAGGTGATTTAAAACCGTGACGTGATCACGACTTTTGATTAACTACGAGATTATGGGTATACTGCTATAATAAGAATAATTTATTCGATATCCATTATTACGACTGCATTATCATGTCACATACCGAATAAATAAAGTATCCACAGAAAGGATCATACATTCTTTGTGCGTGGGTGGTAATTACTAACTAATTACTAAGGAATACATAACATATAAAAGATAATATTGTATATTAAGTTGATTTAATAAAATATGATTAGACAAAAAGTATGCTGAATATGGAAAATCTAATCTTAATTATTATCAGTATTACAATCCACATGAACATACACAAAGAAAAAATACATTTGATGGAACTACACAGTGATTGGTTTTATGGGATTATGGGCTAGTAAGTACATTTAGGATGCACCTGCTCTATTTCACATCATCGATTTTATCTATTAATATCTCAATCGGGGATTAGATATGTCCGATTATTTTAGACAGCTGTTCTTTATATCTATCGCATTATGAAAGAATGGCCGATTTTTTGAAAGTATCCATTTCTTCACGTCAGTTTTGAATCCATCTATATTATTGTTCTTTATTTCTAGTGGAAGTAAATTATAAGATCTTGTAGCTAAGAATACGTATGATCTTTGTAATGTTCTTTTCTGGTAATGGTACTCGTAGGTTGTCTTTGTTTCTTGTGTCGTAACTATACGTGGTGTAATCCATTGCGAACGTGTTTTTGTGTTCTCTAACGATCTAGAAGAAGCTGCTTGTCGAATGTCAAGAGTTTTAATTTCTTGATAGATCATATGGCTAAGGTAAGTCATTGGACGATTATATACCGTTTTTGGATTTTCTCCAGCTGATCTATACACTCAAAACGACTATATAGACGAGTGAATAGACGCAAATGTTAGAAATAGATAGAAGCCGGCTGGATAGCGAAGCTCATCACCGCGTTGCCTAACAAAGTTGACGCGAAATGAAATGTCAGGATCACTACAAATTCTGCAACATTGCATAATTACTGAAGACAAAAGTGGATAAAAGTGTCGTGTAACAAAATCATTGTATAGAGAAAATTGGCTTTAAACATTTTTTGTTGGAACTTTTTAATTTATTGAAATTTTAAATATTCAGTTTAATTAGTTTGTAATTATCTTGTTTTTGCAACAAAGTAATCGCAGAATGAAAGAATCATTCCTTAACGCAGATATACATTTTTTTTAATTTAAATATTACATGACACCTTTATCCACTTGTGTCTTCAATGTGTTCGCTTGGCAACACCGCATCTCGTACATTCTATGGCAAGGTTTCCACCTCCATGATCATATATGAGCCATTTTGATCAATACCCACTTAGCGCTCATTGGGGATTGTTACATTTGCCGGCCGCTCACTGTCGCATAACGTGAAAATAACTCAGGATGTGTTGATGTTATCACCATCGGTGGAAATCAAAGATAATTCTAAACTAAATTAAAACATTAAGTTGCATCAAAATTGAAATAATTCTAATCAAAATTAAAACGAAGTATTGAATTAAATATTCGAACAGACCTCCTTCTTAGATTTGACAGCAACCTAACCTATTGTAGAAGCCTGTGCGAACATTTTCTGATGCGACATATTGGCAACGCGGCACATTGCACGACCTTCTGCTTCACTGTCGCTAGGCAATGTGGTGATGACTTTCGCTCTTCAGCCGGCTTCTATCTCTTTCTAACATGTGTTGATACACACTTCTCACGCTTCTCCCTCGTACACATTGAACTCAAGCCGTCAGACAAATTTGGTTTTCATCGTATAATTTGAAAAGACCTAATTGGTAATTGAATGATACGAATAATCTTTCACGCACATTTAATCGGTAATGCCGTCCCCCAAGTCGTGATCACTTCACGCTTTTTCACGGTATTTGGTAACAGTCTTGAATCGTGATTTTGAAATAATATCAGTTACTAAATAAAAGGACGTGAAGTATCTGTCACTATTATATGAATAACATTTTCAACCGCCTATTGACAACAAAAATTGCTCCATATGGATTGGTTTGATGAAAATTTCTAAACACAACAAACGATCAGAAACCGGAAGTGTGCAAAACGAAGCCTGGGAGTATTTTTGTATCCGTTTGTTTTGCTCAAAAAGGCGCATCACACACCTTTTATTAAAAATGTTGAGTATGAGATTCCGCAGCTAGATAGAGAAGTTACAATCAGTGCTATTAAGGTCAAACTAATAATAACATGTTCTCTAAAATTCAAAAATCTGTACGATGTTTCTTTCTTTATTTATGTTGGAGGACAAAACTGATCGCAGACATTTTTGTGGGAGGGTGCAACTTATCATAAGGCTTACATAAAAGTTTAACAGCATTTACAAACAAACAATGTAGAACTTAAAGAACGCGTTTAGCGTTTATGTAACATAACCCAGCCCGCAGAAGCTTTTCAAATTGCAAGTTCTGCATTAAGACCTTTACCTCACTTTCCGTAATGGCGTCTGGTCCCATACCCAGGCCACGGGCGATCTGTGAAGCACGTCTGTAAATTGCTTCAGCTTGTGCTAGGGCTTGTTTCTGATAAATCTGTTGCAATGTCACATAGCTAGCTGTATCTGCTGCCATATCTGGTAAACTGCCTCTTACAGGTAGTGTTCCCTCTGCCTACAAAATTGATAAAATATCACTTCTAATTTAGTCGAGTTTCTGAGCATAGTCCAGGATAAGGGCCAAGATGAGCGACTAGGTAATGGTAAACGTTCAAATATAGTTCCATAAAGGTCTGCAGACACATGGCAGAAATCCTCAAGCAAAAACGTGAAATAACTGTTTATTCACTTCCATGCAGGGATTCAGAACATCCCGCCAATATATGTATTGTCTTTCTCACGAATATGCATTACGGTAGAATAACAGCTAATTATCTAATAATATTTCAAAATTCCCCATATCAACGAATGACATAATTCTGACGGATCTGTCAAATCCAGGTATATAGAGCCGTATTTTGTTCTGGTTTTTAGTACGCTGCAGATTCATCTTGTACTTCAACAAGTCATTCATTTAGAAAAGTTCATTTGTATACAAAAAGACACTACGAACAAGTTTACTATATTTACACCCGATTCATTTTTGCCATCGTTACAGACTAATACACATCTGTCATTTGCTGATCAGCTGTTCACCTCAGTAGACGTCAAAACGTGATGGATACTCAGGAAATAGAGGTTTACCTTAATCAGAATTCTGATGAATATATGATATGACAATATTTGAGACTTGTACTGAACAGCCTGTCTCACTGTAAGGGTATAGTCACTATTTTGAATAAGAATTCCCCGTGTTTACAATTATGAGACGGTCGTATAATATGAGGTTAAATGGTTTACCTCCACATGTTCTCTCAAAGCAGCACACATGACCCAAAACGGTGCCGTATTCTGCGTCGGTGTCACACACCTTTTGTCATCCAAAATTTCCCTCGCGTGAGTCGGCACTGTGGTCTTACAAATGCAAGTATTGACCAAATGGATAGCTTCTTCGAAATTCTCTTCTAAAACAGACGGCGGACCATCGGGCCCCACTGGGCAAGCACGTATCATATTTTTCAACGCATCTTTCTCTTGCCTTGTTTTTGGGAACGACTGGTATTTTTCTTGGTATTTTTTAAGAAAATAATGTAGAATTACAACTGCAGGTGTGTGGCTACGAGTTTTGGTGTCTAGGGCTTCAACATTGATGCTGTCTAGGAATTCTTCAAGAGCAGGCCATGGACAATCAAGTCTGGAATAAATGATATTGACATAGAACCACATGCGAGAGATGGTTCTTCCTATCTACTATGGTTGTTACTTTGATTATATGGGTACCTGGTTTTTATCAACCAGCTGATGAATTTTATATGAATGTTTCGAGTTTATAAAATAATAGATGGCGCTGCTATAAGTACTAATAACACAACCTAGATAACAATCAGCCATGAAACTCTTCTGTCAGTGTCACAAACGGCCGCCATTTCAGCGGAGAAATTCGCATAGTACAACGTTAGCGTTCTGCAGCAGCCCATATTATCACGTACCATGCCAGCGGCCGCCGATGTTCTTTGCAATCTTAACATGATATTTTGATATGTTCTAATGTAGTTTCTGTTAATCAATAATAAAAAGCACCATGTTTGTCCAAAAAGAGGCGACGAAGTATTGATGTTGTAACGCTTCCTTTCCGCAAAAAGTCCAGAAAAGATGGAATGCAATAAAGATTCCAACTTTTCTGCACAATCACAGAAAGGGGGTTACAATTAGCTTCCGGTAGCTCAGTCGGTGGCATGAAGACATCTACAGGCGTGTAGCTGTGTGTCGACCATGGCATGGCTAGAGGATAGAAGAACAAACAGAACACACAAATTTAACAGATTTTATTTAACAAAAAAAAGGCATTTTCATTACATTACAATTTTACAAAAATAACAAAATAAGTTTTACATCTTTGGCGCTGCTATAACGCTATCGACTTATCTTTCGCTGGTCCATTTTTACTCGACTGAAGCCAGGATGGCCAGGGGCTTGAAGGGAAGGTCCCAGTTATGAGGGGTGACCTCCATATAGTGGCTTCACAACCAGTTGTAGGCGAAGTTAAAGGCGATGGCGCTGCCAAGGTACATGCATGGGTGAAAATATTGGCCAAGGCTAGGCAAAGTGAAAGGGAAAGAGAAAGGGGGTGGCCCCAATCATTTTTGTCCTATACGGACACACATTCTCGAAAATTCTAGCACATGGTGCTATATAACCTTGTGCTACTGAGAAGAAATTTCTAGCCGTTGTTCGATCGGCGGCTCAAGTCAAAAGGAAGCGCGAGGAAGATCGCAGATCAGGAACTCCGCATCAAGCGCTCCAAGCGGAAAATTTTCCAAGCAAAAAAGCTAGAGATGGGATTAATGAAATGATAATCGAGAAGTGATTTAATAAATACGATCGGACGGTGAAACCGTTACACTCGCCCCAACTTAACCAAAGAAAAAAAAAATCGAAGAAGCATTTAAGAATTTTTTTTTTTACTAGGAAATTGAAAGTTATCACGGAAGGACAAATGTACAACCATTCGACCAGATAACAAGTAGTAAAAGTAAGGTAGAAACAAAAATGTTAGAAGAGAATTGGAAGAAAAAGGGATAGCCTCAAGTCTACCAAACAAGAGGGATGGTTATAGCAGAAACTCGCTGAAAAGTACAGTGAAGTTGCACTTAAAAAAAACTATCATCATATGATGAAAAACCCAAAACATAAAACATCGTCATACCTAAGACGAGAAAAATAATAAACCAAAAGTTTCAGCAGTAGTCCAAGCACGAATCACAATGGCATCCAAAATGCACGACTGACTACTAAAAACTTCAAAACTAAGTAAGTACCTAAACCATAAGAGGTACTAAAAAAAATAATAATCTTTCTCAAAACAATTGCCAGATTATCTCGCAATACTCCAAACCCAAAAAGATTATGATCTACAGTGATATTTTAAACCAATATCCAATATAAAAAAACTGTGCATTACTATTTTCAAAATATGAAAATCAAAAGAAATTAACAAATTCTATTAAGAATTCCAGTTATATAACAAAACAATTTACAAGTACTAAACCAATGAAAACTTGATCACGAAGGTATTTCAATCAAAAAAGATGTTAACTAAGTGCAGTTCTGATTCCACAAAAAAATTGTCGGGCGCCAGCAGTCTGTAAGACTACAAAATAATTCAAAATATTTTCAGAGAATTAAAGTATATAAGGGACATTCATGAAATATTGAAGTAAGATTTTCAAAGTCAAAATATAGCTTAAGTTCAATCAATGAACTAAAATTCAAGAGTAAGTTCAATCAAAATTTTCGGGTCATGTGACAACATAAGAACCAGACCAAAAAAAAAATTTGAAGTACAATATAGAAAAGAGCAAAATAAATTTCCAAAAAAACTAAGTGCAACACAAGTGCAACTGTAAATCTAATAGTGTTAAAATCATAAAGTGAAAGGAAATATTAAAGCTACATGAGCATGATTTTATAAAGGGTTCTCAAAAAAAATTTAAAAGTAAGCAAAATATTAAAAGTTTCATGAGTAATAAATGAGAAACGAAGTGAGCATATGTAAAATGCAAAATAGCGAAACGAAAATCACAAGATATTTTATTAAATCATGATACATGAGAGTAATGCCGCAAGCAAAAATTGTATGCAAAAGACTACGATATATGTAGGTGCAAAATTGGAGTTATAAAAAAAATCTAGTGAACAAGAAATAGAAATAAATATGATAGGTAAGAATTCGAATTTTGATTTAAAGCAAAAATATGAGAGAAAGACAACTTTCTAGGGTCACCATAGGTGCATTCCAAAGCTCTAGACAAGAATGTCTATAGTCTATGGAATATTTTCATGTAGATCACTGATAACATCAGCGCACTTCAAAGTCTACACTGAGAATAACCATATCATTGTAAAATGAAAGTTAAGTTCAAATATGAAATATTACAAGATTAGAAAAACTATAATAATTTACCAGTCTAAAGTATGAAAAGAGAATTACTATACTGAATCTATAAGAATTGGCGATTACTTCAAGTCAAGACAGAAATTGAAATAAATAAGAAGTCGGAAAAAAACTATGAGAGCAGACTATCAAAACAAACGCAATAATGCAAAAGCAAAATCACCAGATATTTCAAAATCTATAGCGAAAAATGAAAGCAATGTCGCAACCAAGCTCAAGACTTAGCAATACGCACAAATGTGCACAAAGGCTGAAAGCATATATGAAAAATCTCAAGAAGGAATTGACAATTACTTCAAATCAAATTGAACTGATTGAATTGAACTGAGACATAAATAACTATATCAAAAGTGAGTTTTACTTATACGCCAGAGGTTTCAAGAGTTTATCAATACGCACAGATTTGCAACTAGGCGGAAAGCATATATGACAAGTCTCAAGAAGAAAATAAAATGCATATGAAGAAAACACTTTCAATTAAAGAAACTGTGGATAGTACAAGACCCTCAAGGCATACATCGCAACGAATCTATGTAACTATCCAGACTACAAAATACTGTCAAAGTTCAAAACCACTCAAAAATATGTAAACAAACATCAAAAGTTTGAACCAAAAATCAATGTAAGTCTGTGCTCTCGAAGAAAGTTATAATGAATTCAAAAAGAGGATACTATCAAAAACTTCAAAAGTAATAGACTTCAAAAATAGAAATACGTAAGTATGTAAAGGAAATTCAGAAAATATACGCATAAAAACATTATAAAATATTATACACAGTATTTGTCACATGATTTAGATCGGGAATGCAATTTAAATTTTGAGTACACTCAGAAAAATGAAATATTCAAAAGATGAAGTATACGCATTAAATTGGAATCAGAAAAATAATGATTACTTGTAAATTTTGTACATGGTGGACTGACGTAATGGTTCAAAAGGTTGAAAGAACAACGATGACTAATGTCCAAAGTAAACATTCACCTGCCTTTTACAGGAAATTAGCTTAACAATTATCAAAGGAAATTCTTGTCCGTTCGCATCTGTACTAGGAAATAAACATAGGAAAACCTACTCGCTCCAATGTACAGATCGAAAAACTCGCCCCCTTCGATTGAGCGGAAATATGAGTATTGGACTGATTATAATATTTCAAAAGGTTGAAGGATCAACGATGTTAAATGTCCAAAGTAAACATTCAGCTGCCTCTTACAGCAAATAAGTTTATTCATTATCAAAGGAAATTCTTCTCCGTTCGCATCTGTACTAGGAAATAAATATAGGAAAACCTACTCGCTCCAATGTACAGATCGAAAAACTCGCCCCCTTCGATTGAGCGGAAATATGAGTATTGGACTGATTGTAATATTTCAAAAGGTTGAAGGATCAACGATGTTAAATGTCCAAAGTAAACATTCAGCTGCCTCTTACAGCAAATAAGTTTATTCATTATCAAAGGAAATTCTTCTCCGTTCGCATCTGTACTAGGAAATAAACATAGGAAAACCTACTCGCTCCAATGTACAGATCGAAAAACTCGCCCCCTTCGATTGAGCGGAAATATGAGTATTGGACAAATTGTAATATTTCAAAAGGTTGAAGGATCAACGATGTTAAATGTCCAAAGTAAACATTCAGCTGCCTCTTACAGCAAATAAGTGTAATCATTATCAAAGGAAATTCTTGTCCGTTCGCATCTGTACTAGGAAATAAACATAGGAAAACCTATTCGCTCCAATATACAGATCGAAAAACTCGCCCCCTTCGATTGAGCGGAAATATGAGTATTGGACAAATTGTAATATTTCAAAAGGTTGAAGGATCAACGATGACAAATGTCCAAAGTAAACATTCAACTGCCTTTTACAGTAAATTAGCTTAGCAATTATCAAAGGAAATTCTTATCCGTTCGCATCTGTACTAGGAAATGAATATAGGAAAACCTACTCGCTCCAATGTACAGATCGAAAAACTCGCCCCCTTCGATTGAGCGGAAATATGAGTATTGGACAAATTGTAATATTTCAGAAGGTTGAAGGATCAACGATGACAAATGTCCAAAGTAAACATTCAACTGCCTTTTACAGTAAATTAGCTTAGCAATTATCAAAGGAAATTCTTATCCGTTCGCATATGTACTAGGAAATGAATATAGGAAAACCTACTCGCTCCAATGTACAGATCGAAAAACTCGCCCCCTTCGATTGAGCGGATTTTTTTTGTAATTATTATATTTAGAAAA